GATTGAGTATGATGAACAACCAATGAGTCAAAGAAGACACAAAAAAGGAAATTTTAAAATATCTTGAGACAAATGGAAACACAACATACCAAAACTCACAGACTGGGCTGGGCACAGTGGCTCATGCCTATAATCCTAACACCCTGGGAGGCCAAGGCCAGAGAATCACTTGAGCTCAGGAGTTGGAACCCAGCCTGAGCAAGAGAGAGACCCCTGTCTCTACTAATAATAGAAAAAAAACTAGCTGGGTGTTGTGGTGGGCACCTGTAGTCCCAGCTACCTGGGAAGCTGAGGCAGGAGGATCTTTTGAGCCCAAGACTTTGGGGTTGTTGTGACCCATGATGCCACAGCACTCTGCAAAGCGTGACAGAGTGAGACTCTGTCTCAAAAAAATAAAAATAAAAATTTACGGGATGCTGCAAAGGCAGTACTATGAGGAAAACTTATAACCATAAAAATGGACATGAAAAAGGTAGGAAGATCACAAATAAATAACTTTACACCTCAAATAACTAGAGAAAAAGAACAAACCACAACAAAAGTTAGCTGGAGGGAATAATAAAAATGAGAGCAAAATAAACAAGATAGTCAGAAAAAAAATCCACAAAACTATGAGTTGGCTTTTGAAGATAAGTAAAACTGTCCAACTCTGCTAGACTAAATAAGACTAAAAGAGAGATGACAAATAAATGAGACTGTTTGGATTCAGATCTCAACTCTTTGGGTATTTAATTCAGGTGTTTGATGTCTCAGTGAAAGGTGGATCACGTGAATACCATCCTCAAATCTGCTGTCACGTTTAAGTAAGTTAAACCAAGTAATGTACCTGGCACATAAGAAACACTCAGGAGATGCTAGTTATTCTTATAATTTTTATAATTTTCAGTAATTGAAGCTTCTGATCAGCAGCTATTTGAGTGCATACCAGGTTTTCACTACAGTAAGCAACAGTGTAATGTGTATCCTGTCCATACACTTTTCCCTGCTCCTGCAAGTCTCCCCCTACCTTTCAACATGAATGAGCCCTGGGACTTGTAATGCTCATCCTTACTTGTCACCTATCACCAGGACCACAACTGTCCCTTCTTAAAATATCTGCTCTATTTCTGACTTCAAAGTAAAGATGACTAAAAGCACAAATTCTCCTCTGGAAAGGGAAGAATAACTCTGTGTGCCAAGGAGTCTAAATCAGTGACTTTCATAGTTTATTTGAAATGATTGTTTGCAGAGGAGAGGTCCCAAACTCCCACCCCGTCCAACCAATCAATGGAAAGAATGAAGGGAATTGGCGCTATTGGTCCATACTCAGGTTTAATTGTTCATATAGTACTAATTTACCAGTAGGTGCTTGTAGTAGACTAGAGTCAGCAGGATTATTTTCACTGTTAACTTCCTGGGCTTAGACTCAGCACAAGGAAAACAATTATGAGCAGAATTTAAATGCATTAGAATGAATGTTTTTATTTATTTATTTATTTTTATTTATCTTATTTTAATTTTTGAGACAGAGTCTCACTGTGTCATTCTGGGTAGAGTGCCATTGTGTCACAGTTCACAGCAATCTCAAATTCTAGGGCTTAAGCGATTCTCTTGCCTCAGCCTCCCAAGTAGCTGGGACTTCAGGTGCCCACCATAATGCCCGCTGGACTAGTTTCTTGTTGCATTTGTCCTTGTTTAGCCCAGGCTGGGCTCCAATGTGACAGCCTCAGTGTATGTGGTTGGCACCCTAACCACTGTGCTAAGGGCGCTGAGCCTAGAATGAATGCTTTTAGTTACAATTATATCCCTTTGCTTTCACCCAGGGATATTGGCCAGGGTCGCTAGTGTGGCAAGTCAAAGGTTATTCCCAGTAGGCTAAGATGTGTGAATTCTGATTATCATGGTCATTGGAATCTTGAAGGACAGGGATACACGATATCAACAGTAACACTGGACACAACTGAGCATCAGAATTTCGTCATTTCTCACTGTCTTATTTACCAGGAGCCCTCACAATCTCTTTGTTCCCCCCCCCTTTGCTTATTTCTTTGTGTACCCTTTGCTACATTCTTTCCTTCCTCTTCTCTCTCCATCTCCTCCTAACCTTCCCCTTGAACCTGCCTCTCTCTCAAGCTTCCACATCTTGTTCCTGTGCTCCACTCTCAAGCTTGCTGAACTGGTCCTGAATTTCTGTGTGCCTTCTTAAATCTCCCATCTCTTCAAACCCCTCACTCTGGCCTCCCTCCCTGCGACAGTGGACATTCTCCTCTCAGAATTTACGAACAATATTGAATTGCCACCTGTGCTCCTGGCTTCCCTCCTAATTCTGGCTGATCTCTTTTCTTGGCTCTCCAGAGCTTCATTTCTATCATTTTCTCCACTAGCTCTTCCCACTTGCCCTGACACTTTTACCTCATTCCCCAACCTGCTGATACCTCCTAAAATGACCTGTCAGCTGGGCTCCACCCAGGAGTGCTTTCACTTTCAGCTGAACTCCATCATATAATTGAGTTATCACTGTGTAATTTCTCCCCATGCACTCAGTTATTAATCTGCCTTAATTATTGTTGTTGCTGCTGCCCAGGATAGAGTGCCACAGTGTCAGCCTAGCTCACAGCAACCTCCAACTCCTGGGCTCAAGCAATCCTTCTGCCTCAGCCTCCCAAGTACCTGAGACTACAGGTGCCTGCCACAATACCCAAGTAGTTTTTCTATTTTTAGTGGAGACAGGGTCTTACTCTTGCTGAGGCTGGTCTCAAACTCCTGAGCTCAGGCAATCCTCCCGCCTTGGCTTCTCAGAGTGCTGGGATTACAGGCGTGAGCCACCACACTTGGCCAAACTTTCTCTTATTAATATGCTTTAGTTGTGAGTTGATCTTTGAACAAACTTGGGGGGAAGGAGGAAGTTTCCCCTCATGCTTAACTAATTCCAGATCAAATATGATATCCGCTCTACTTTGTAGGGAAAATGATCTCCCTCTCTTGTGTTCCCTGTGTTCCCTTTCACATCTACTCATACTACAGCATAGCTGTGTCACTTTGTACACCTTGTCCTGTCTAGATTATGATCTTCTAAAGGCCAGGGTTGTGTTTGATTTAGTTTTTGAAGCTTAGTTTCTAAAAGTAACAGGTTATTAATAAATATTTGCTGATTTGAATTGTCACCACCCTCAGTC